AACCTCGTTGCATTCCCCCCCCCCCCCATTCGCGTGGAAGCCGCTGCACTCTCCCTCCAGTGTTCACTTCCTAAGCAAAAGGCTGCCTTTCGGAATGGGTGGTGCTGCGAAAGCCGAGCTCTCGGAGAGGCACAGCGCCTGGCCGGATCACTGCATCACAGGCCCAAGGCTCAGAAGAGATGTTTGCTTGGAAAGAGCGCCGGGGCCACCCCAATGGCCGTGGCCGCGACGGCCGCTGCACCTCTCGGCAGTCTTGTGCAACGAAAGACGTGGCCCAAGCGCACAGCAGGACATCTCGAAAGACTATATCATCCGTGTCCAAGTGGCTCTCCATGGAAGGCAGCTTCGATGCCATCGCGCTATGAATTGCAATGTGCTGGTGCCAAAAGTGCAGTGTGAACAACTTGTCCTTGTGAAAACAAAATTTGGACTGAGAAGTTGTTCTATGTTTAAGCACCGTTCTTGGGGCTTCAAGTACGCATCTGAAGCAACCTGATTACGCCGCGCTAACAATCTGCACCCGTGTCAAATAAATTCTTGGGCCCGTCCAGTCGCGGCGGCGAGCAGTCCAGCTCAGCATCTCCACTTGTTTCGGCCTCGGAAGCAACACAGTCCAGACAACTAAACTGGAATGAGAACATGTCTACAAGCTCCATGCCGACACGAACAGACTCCTCCATAGCCTCCTCCAGCTGGGAGATCTCTCCACTCACCTAGGCCGACGAGGAGACGCTGTCAAGGTGCGTCATAGGGGAGAATGCTTGGAAAATGATGCTGTTTCACATTCCTCTCGAAGCAGCGCACACTCTCCAGTCTTCCGTGGGCCCCCGACATCGGAGAAGCCAATGCGGGCCTTGGCCCGCCTGAAGAGCGCCTGTGAGCGGCAGTGCACAAGGCAAAGGCACCAGTTGTTAGGCCTTACCTCATGAATCAAGCTTGGGCTTCGCTTTGCAATCACTAAGCTGTAAAACAAGAAGCACGCATACGAGAGTTGTCGCTCCGTATTGACTGGCCACCCTCCTCTTTGGTTCCGCTGATGTGGCCCACCGTCTATCACTATTGTCAATGCCTTTTGCGGTTCACGGGTGGCCCAGTCCCTTCAGTTCTCCGTCTCAAAAATTCAGCACAACAGATGCTGCCACAAAAAGTTCAAAGCCAAGGGCTCAACTCTCTGGCCTTCACGACGAGAGGGTCGCTGGGTAGAGCACCCAGGCCCTGTGGCAACGGTGCTCACCCCAGAGCTTCAACACGGGTCTGGAAGCAGATGGGCAACATGGGTAAATGCACAGGAGCATGACGAAGAAGCGAAAGCGAAAACAGCACGCCGCAGTTCTTGCTTCGCACATCTGCCCATGCACCACTGCGGAAGATTCGGCTTCACGAAGTCATGCGAAGGACGGCCTTTTGAGAATGCTTGCCGACAAGGCCGAGGAAGACCTCATCCTTGGAAAGCAATTGGGTTTGTAGTTCAAAAGCAGCACGTCCTGAGGGCCCAGATCTTGTGAATCCCATCTGCGAGACCGCATCGTAGTGTCGTAGCCCATCTTCTCTTCCATTCCCATTCCAATTCTACACAAAACATCTCCGTTAGAGTTTCTGACCAAGACAATGAGTGCAGATGAAGGACGGCGACGGCAATTGCACCCTGCCATTCGCCCATGGCCTCGGCATCAAGCCGCAGCAGGTTCTTTTCATCGGAAGCTGAACAGCTGCTCACAGAAAGATTTCAGACATGCTTTCCACCCGCGAGCCTATTTGGAAGCCTGGGGCGGATCCAGTGCCACACCCGCACCTGAGGCTCCGGGCGAGCAGAACCTGGCAAACCTTGGCAGGTAAGACCAGTGCTTACTTCGGCCTCTTGCATGAGAATTTCCTCGCAAGAACATCTCAAAAGACTCTCGAATGGGTTGATTGCAAGGGCTGCTCGGAAGTCTTGGGTTCAAGGTTCCATGGTGGGCTTGGGGTTGCCTCCGAGTCTTCCTGCTTCTGACAGAGTCTTGGAACCGAGACTCCAAGGCGTCCAAACGGCACCAACTGAAAGACTGAGCAAGCACTGTGTGAGACTGAGATGTGCACGTTCAGTTTCAGTGCCGCCTCAGCCTGAATCATCAATGAGCATTGAGCATTCGCCAATGTGCGTGGAATGTGGTGATTAGCTTGGGCCAAGAAATGCAACAGTTTCATCCAAGATCGAGCAGATTTGAAGGCAGGAGGAGCCTTGACAGGTTCCGTGCGATCCTTCGGGCGAACGCCACCAGCCCTCAGATCAGAGGTGAGCGTCAGGCTTGGAAAGAGTAGCAGAATGCAATGGACCATGCTGCTCCCCAGCCACCATGAGAAAAAGACAACTTGCTAAAAGCTTCCAGTAAGGCAGTCACAGCATAGTAGAGGCTTCTTGATCGGCGAACTCCTCCAATCAAGCTCAAGCATCGCCATCCTTTCACAGCCTGTGTGTACCTGCATCCTCGCAGCAGCTTGCCCAAGCCCGACAAAGCTCGCCTTCAGGTTCTGCTTCTTCAGCAGCGGCTCCAGATATGCCAGTGCCTGCAAGAACATGTGAGGCTTCAGTGAGTTTCTTCTTCCAGCGACATCATGAGGAATGGACGCGTTTGCTTCGTGGCACGCAGAACCGGAGTTACGGTTGATAGGGGAAATCTTGTACGACCCAGAGGCTGACTCATGACATCGACCAGAAACCCACACGCCCTTCTTCATATTGACAGCATTGGACTGGTGCAATATTTCGCCAGTGGAACCCAACAGGTGTGGGGTTCTTTCTCTCTTTCACTGACTACTTAAACTGCTGCAAGATTTCCTCCATAAGCAGCAGCAGTGGCATGGACGGCAAGAACGTGGACAATGCATGCAAGTACAACTATGGCAACTATGGACCAGGCCTTGTTGTACTTCTCCAGGGCCTGCTTGTACTGGTTGTTCCTGGGATACAGCAGCCGATAACGAGGACAAAGGAGCCAAAGCTAAAACTTGAAAGAAGTCCGCACACGTAGGAATTGTTCATGGCCTCACTTGGCGGCACGCGTCGGATCATTGCACACATGCCAATCGCCGAGTATGTGCATGACATACGACATTCCTCCGGTAACCTTCAGAATACTGAGGACTCGAGACTCTGACAAGACTTAAGCACTTAAGCCGTCACGTTGCCCTGCCACATGCATCCCAAGCTCCGGAAGTATTCGTTGCCGATCTCACGGATGCGCTCCTTCTGTTCAGCTCTCCCATGACCATGAAAGCCCGCTTGCATTTGATGTTTCGCTGAAGCACAGCAGCTTCCAAAGCTTGTACTACCAGCCATAATGGAAGCTTGACAAGATGCCGTCTGCTGCTACGTTGAAGATCTCTGTCGCTCAAGATGCAGCATTAACCCGTCCTGTGCGAACATCAGCTCGGAGGGCTCGCTCTTCACAGAGAAGTCCAATGGATGTGCCGGGAAGGCATCGCCTCGGAGAAGCGCTGGCAAGACCCCGTCAGTCCCAGTGAGCTCGCATCCAGGACGCAGACCATCTGCCGGCTTGGGCACGGCAATCTGCTCCTCCGTGATCTCACCTCAAAAGGACCGGAAACAAAAAAGTGGTGTATGAAATGTAGACGGCTTTCGCGTTTCCAGGGGTCCCGGGCCGCAGCTCTCGATGATCACATCAACCATGGGTCGGCCTCCCCAGTGCGTCTTGACCTGAAAACTTGTAACCCAAGCTCTCAAGGCGTGCCCTACACCAAGGTCGCAGCGTTTCGTTCTGCATAGGACGAGGTCTTGCGGTCCTTAATTGTTGGCGAGTGTGAGGCCCAGCTGACAAAAAGCATTGGTGGGAGGTTCTGTTCCGGCAGCCTGAGGGACAAGCTGTGGGAAGGCCCTCGATGAGGCGCAGCACCTGAGCCCGTGCTCCAGGTTTTTGCTGGCGGGATGCCAGTTTCCATGATGGCTTTCACACTGAGGCCGTGGTGCCATGTGGTTAGCAATATCGCTCAGAACTCATCGGTCGCACTCCACACGATCAAACTTCAACAGCTAGGCGTGCATCAGATGAGTGAATTTCTTGGCGTTAAGTTCAAAGCCGCAATGCCTGTCGTCAAGCCGAAACCCCGGCCTCCATTCCACGAACTACTCGTCCAATGATCTGGTTGAAGCCTTTGGACTCAAGGTGCTCAGAAGCCCCTGGGCTGTCGGGCTCCGCAGTGCAGATAAGCCGGGAGCCATCCAAGTGGTCGGCTTCGTTTAACGTGATCATGAAAGTGCAACCTGAGACGGCGGCATCCCACTGAACCTGTGTTCTCGAACCTGCGCTGTGTAACATGGATGTAAGAGAAGCGCTGTTCGTGTTCGCGCCGTGGTTGCCTACCTCAGCAAGGCATAACAGCATAATGTCAGCTAGTCAATCAATCTGTGCAGACCAGACCAGGCAGGAATTGATATCCAGATTACATCATGCAAGAAGAGTCGACAGCGAGCATCGGCATGCTTTGTTTGACTGCGTGCTTGACGCACGCCGATGCCCATCTCCACAAGTAAGAGAAGCTTTACTTAACTTGTTCCCTTGTTCCCCAACGTTAACCCTGCGGCTTGGACACTCAGTCCCACGCCGGGCTGGCGTAGGTATAAGGCCCGAGCCCACAAGGACTGAATCACTGAAGCGCTAGCAAAACCCGACTGCACAGGGTGCACCTCTCACTTCGAAGTGTCCGCAGGGCAGCACTCGAACCGAGGCTGTGGCTGCAAGGAGGCCTGGCCTGCAGCTTCTGACGTCGCTTCACGTAGCATGTTTTCGTTGAAGCCTGCACTAACCAAAGACCTGGAAGCTAATTCTGGATTCTGGGCTTCGCCGTTTCACCAGGCTGGAGTCTAGACATGCCCGAGGAGGACAAGGCTCAAAGGCAGCGAGCCTGTCAAACGAGGTGTTTGGCAGCACGAGCCTGGAAAAGCAGCTGTGTGCAAGACCAACTGGAGGTCGGGAGCATGCAGCCCCCCGCATGTGCTCATGCATTGGCAAACTGCCGTGATCTTAGCCGTTGAACAAGACACTGAATCGTCTGGGTAGGCCTCTCGTCGGGCAGGTATGATCCCCAACACGAATACTCGTTGGGTATGGAAGCCTGCCGAACAGGCATTCGCACAATACTCGGACTTCATGTTGTCTCCAAGAAGCACAAGCCTGCACACAGTACTTCGGCAAAATGTAGTCCAGTGATCGCCCCTGGCATCAGATCGAACCGTAGCATGTGCTGACCAGCCACTTTATTCTCGTCTATCGATTCCGAGTAGAACTGACATGTGCAAAACCTTCAAGCAGGTGGCTAGCGCAGGGCTTGAGTGCTTCCGAGACAAGTCTTGGTCCATACTCAAGCTGCAGAGCCTGGTAGCACAGGCGCTTCCCGCCCACACCGTTGCCCCGCTCTCCCGTGCAGAGAAGCCGGAAGTTCTCGCACAGCTTCGGTGCGTGAGCGACCTGCTGAGACTCGCACAGCTCAATGACCCTTGTCCATGCTCGCAACAATGCCTGGTCCAACTCGATGACGACCCTGCCCAGGTACCGATTCTCAGGGGTCTTTGCCCCGGAATCGAGCATCTCCTCATCGGCACACGATCAGGAACTGAGCGTCTGGTTTCAGGAAACTGCTTCAGGCTTTGAGCTGTGCGCTCGAAGTATTTCGACTACAGGCATCACCTGGCAAGGAGCCTTCCCCTGCATCATGTGTGAACAGCTCCCACTGCCGTCCTTGCCCTCCGGAATGGAAAGAAACGATTCGGGACGGCACAAATCTGGAGGATTCGGGAAGAGTGCGGGAGCGAGAAACTGCCGAGAACATGAACGGAATCCCAGTGGTCCAACATGCTGGCAAGCAGATAAAGCAGGTGGAAAGCAGATATGGTGTCAAGCCCGAGAAAACTGGCGTCTCATGTCATGTTGCATCACATCACCCCCTTGAACTGGTCCTGCTCGTAGCATTTAAGGTTGGACGTGTCCACAGAGAAATCGAGGAAGCAATGGCAATGCCTGTCAGCACAGCTGCAGGTCGTGGATTGGGCCAAACGGTTACAGCCACTCTAGAAGTCAGCATTGACCCATATTAAATCTTGACCTCCAAGCATAAAGCGGCCCTCTATGCGGGGCACCTGTCGCGCTGCTGGAGTCGGACGGCACCTTCGTTGAGCTCCGCCAGCACCTGACACACGGCAGAGCTATCTCCCACAGCCCAAGCTCTGGTAATTGGAGCTGGTCTCGGTAGCCGCTACGACGTCTCGCAGCATATTCTACTTCCTGGCCTCTGGAAATAAGCACTTACCCAGGACCAACCCGTTCAAAAGTTCCAGCTTCGCACTTACTGTAAAAGACTCACCCAGCCTTCTGCGACAAGCCTTGGTACTTCTGGGACGCCTGCAGTGGCCGCAAAAGGCGAACTGCCCCTAAGGCCCTAAGACCCTACACACCCGAGGAATTGGGCCGAAAGCCCTGAACACCTCGTCTGGAATGCTAAGCCTGCTAATGCGCCGCGTGGGTTCATCCCTTCAACCGGAGCTGCAACAATCAAAGCTTCATGTACCATGACTCGCCAAGTAGTCCTCCATACCTGGGTCCGGAGTTGTCATCATGGAAACGACGGGATCCCAGGGCTGGTGCCTCTGTTTGCCAGATCGGCTCCTCGTCACTATCTTCAATATTGTTGAACTTCGAATAGTCGACCATGGCCGAAGCACGAGTACGAAGTCCAAGGCCTCAGCTTCAAAGCTTCGGCACGACCTGCACTGCTACATGAGTCGCTGGGCTGTGTTGACACGGAACACCACACTCTGCGACGTCCTGGGAGCCCTTTTGCTCACTTGTCAGCTTCTTTCCGCAAAATGACACTCGCAGACTTTCTAATCCTAACAACAGAGGGGCTCGGCAAGAAGCATGTTACAGAGCTGATAGGAGTAACGTGTCTTATCTTCGAGCTTGCTCCTTGCACACCCCTTGTGCCACACATGCCCGCTGCTGAGCAACTGCATGGGAACGGTTTGCTTTCGCCGGCTGTGCGAAGCTGAGCGGGATTCCCATCCAAAAATTTTAGGCCAAGCTCCTTCTGCAAACGGTATGCGCGTGCACGTGAAATGTTGAATCCAGCGACTCGCGGCTGCCACGGCCAGGCACACTACTCCACCGAATTTTTGATTCAGATGCGGGGTTCCCGCTTTGCGGCTCAGAGGAAGCCTTCTCAAAAATCGCGGGCAGTGATGTAGAATTGGCATGTCGGGGATCACTTCCTCTGAAACATGCCCAAGCTCCTGGAAACGAATCCTTGCAGGATTTCCAGCGCTGTGAGACAAGGACATGGTCCCACCCCATGGCGACCACCTGTTGGCCGGAGGCACACGAAATAATCATAGTAAAAAATAATGATAATAACCATAATGATCATAATAACCATACCAAACATGAGAAGTTGTGAAAGCAACAATAATTTGAATCAATTGGAAAAAGTCAAAAATCGAAGAACGAAAGCAGCAGGCTTCGTAATAATAGTAGTGGTAGTACTGGTACCGGTACCGGTACTAGTACTAGCACTAGTACTAGGAGTAGTAGTAGTAGTAGTAGTAGCAGTAGTAGTGGTGGTAGTGGTAGTAGTAGTAGTAGTAGTAGCAGTAGTAGGCGTAGTAGTAGTAGTAGTAGTAGTAGTAGCAGCAGTAGCAATGGTAGTAGTAGTAGTAGTAGTACTAGTAGTAGCAGTAGTAGTAGTAGTAGTAGTAATAGTAGTAGTAGTAGTAGTGGTAGTAGTGGTACTAGTAGTACTAGTAATACAAGTAGTACGAGTAGTAGTCGTAGTAGTAGTAGTAGTAGTAGTGGTGGTGGTAGTAGTAGTAGTAGTGGTAATAGTAGTGGTAGTAGTAGTAATGATAATTAATAACAATAGGAGTGGTAGTATGTAGAACTGGTCCGATGACAAGACTGTAATGATTTTATGCGTGCTGCAGTTCAGGGCATGCCCACGTGCAGCTTCTGCAGCTGGCACTCCATGTCATGGCCATCTTTTTGTGCACATTTTGAGCGTCGCTGCTGTTCGGTGAATTCGGTGTTACATGTGCGAGGGACTAATCCTACCAACTGCGATGTCCCCACCGACAGCATGATTCACCCGCACCCTCCCGCCACCAGCCCCTTGAACTGCCGGCAGCTCATAAGCAGCCGTGCGTACAGGCATTTTGTACCTGTGGTATTTTGCTGATGGTCAAGAGCTCGCCACGGATCATGGCACTGGAGCTGACGGAGGACCAGAAGGCGGAGCTGATCAGCGCCAAGGAGCAAGCCCCATCAGGACCACCGAGCACGGCGGCACCATCGGAACCCTCGGCGGGACCCAGCCCGGGAGCACAAGCGCAGCTCGATGACGGCAGACCAGGGCAACGGCAAGGGTGTCGACAAGTACACACGCCAAGAGAGACTGAAGGGAGGATCAGCTCTGGATGGGGAGAAGACAGCGGACACCGGCAAGGACAAGAACAAGGAGATCCCACAATTGGAGGAGGTCAACACTCAAAACACTATGTCTCATCCTCTCCCGTCTTGTGCTGAGACACGAGGACCAGCACTCGATCGACAGATCGGAGAAGGGCTTCATCCTGTTCTGTCAGACATCTGCAATTCTTTCCATCCAGGCGGACAGCATTTGGACCATCGAGACCTGCACCAAGATGCAGGAGGAAAACCCGGCGAGAGGTCGGCGATGCTCAAGCAGGTGATGGATGTCTGGTACACCAGGCTGGAGGCGGTGGAGTTGAAGGATCTCGTCTTGCTCCCGCTCACAACCCTTCGCCTCCATGCAGCCAGAAAGATGGCGCAAAGGTTCCAGGGTAACTTGCAAAACTACTTATAGTGATGCTGCGCTGATTGCAATCATGTGGTCACACTCCTGCCTGCACCCAGGGACGACGGACTCCTAGGACCACATTTGCACTCAGTTGTAGCTTGGTTTCGCAAGAGGACGGGGATCACGCATTTGTGGTAGCAAAATCGTTTGGAGATCTCTCCACCCGGAGTGGAGACAGCCGCAACGGCAACACGACATAGTGGAATATGCAGTTCCTCCGTCCTCTGTTTCATCCAACAACTGCTGCTTATGGGTAGTACCTGGCCTCTTTGGTTACCAACACCAACACCGCGTAATTCCTTTGGCGGAGCCGCAGCCAGTGCCATTCTTGCTATCCCAAGCAAATCGTTTTCGCACAGGTCAGGACAGACCTGGTAAAACCTACCTAATCCACCTTAGGCCTGATCCCTACATTGTCATTCCTAGATTTGTGCACGCTTTGGATCAGCCTAGTGCTATGCAAGTTCCGTATGAGAAGTACATACTCGTAGTAGCACTGTTGCACGAAGGCCCCAAGGCGGACACAGGACACTATCGGGCAGTGCTGGTTGATGACAAACTCCATCTCATCAAGCATGATGCCGTCCCTGCCAAGCGACTACAGCCGCTTAAAGAGTTTGCACGTTGTTGCAACAATTACTCTGCCTTCCTGTATGTGCGCTGTCCTAGTCCCTAATTTGGGTTATAAGTGCTCTGCCACCCGCCGACATTCCTTTCAGGTAGCGAGTCACACTGTTTGCTGCTCTGACATAATTCGTTTACATGTACATATTTATTTCTCTGTGAATGTCTTAGGACAAAGTGTCGGCTAGAATGCAGCGTTCTCGTTTTTGAGCTTTGGGGCCGGGGAACATCGCTTTTGAGAAGCTTCGGATCCTGTAAGAGTCAGGATGCGCGAAAGTGCTGGGATGCAGATCCTGCCCCAAGACTTGGACAGCCCAGCGAAACCTCTTGCTGCGTTCCGAAGACAGTAGTAGTTGTAGTAGTAGTAGTAGTAGTAGTAGTCGTAGTAGTCGTAGTAGTAGTAGTAGTAGTAGTAGTAGTGGTAGTAGCAGGAGTAGTAGTAGTAGTAGTAGTAGCAGCAGCAGCAACGGTGGTAGTAGTCGTCGTAGTAGTGCTAGTAGAAGAAGCAGCAGAAGTAGTAGCAGCAGCAGTAGCAGTAGTAGTATTAGCAGCAGCAGTAGCTGTAGTAGTGGTAGTAGTAGTGGTAGTAGTAGTCGACGTAGTAGTAGTAGTAGTAGTAGTAGTAGCAGTAGTAGTAGTAGTAGCAGCAGCAGTAGCAGTAGTAGTAGTAGCAGCAGTAGCAGTAGCAGTGGTAGTAGTAGTAGTAGTAGTAGCAGTAGTAGAAGTAGAAGAAGAAGAAGCTGAGAATTACCATGACGGTTAGGCTAGCCTCGCTGTGGGCTGCGCAGGCGAGGCTCCTTGTACTACATGAATCCTGCGCACCCTCAACCGCAACTGATTATGTACTGCCCTCAGTCGGTCACAGTATGCAGCATATGCAAACCTGTGACAAAAACATGTCATATACAGGATCGCCTTCTCGTCTCTTCTATAAAGCCATGTTCATGCTCTATCGACAGTACAGCACAATTACACTTTCACAAGGTGTTGCACGCATCTGGGTGATGCCCATCAAAGCTCGTGGGTAGCCCACGTCCAACATGAAAAGCACTAGCTGCACACGGGCTCCATCTCTCTTCAAGAGGTGGAGCCGTGCGTCAGTATCCGCGCTGACTTGCTTGTCCATGTGCCCTTTCAAAAATCGAGCCTGAACCCAGCGTAGTCTCACTGGACCACGGACGACGACCCGCTTATCACGTTCTCCCTCTTCTTGTGCTCGAGGCTCTCTGCATGTCCTGGTCGTCATGCCAGGCCGCACGACTTGACAAGGGCGTAAATCGTATTAGAGCCGGACGCTACCAGCGCGGGATAGACTTAAACAGTTTCGGGTCAGCCAGAGACCACCCCATCTGTAAAACTGGGTGAACTTTGCATCTGAACGATCCGGAGTCGAGCGGAGTGCCAGTTGGAAGGTTAGTCATGCACTATGTTCAGCTGAAGGCTACATACATGCGAGGACCGAGCACAACCAGATAAATGATTCTGCACCTCTTGCGGAATGACCCACAGGATCGCCAGTACCTTCACCGTGATGCTCTCTACCTGCCTGAGGCGTCCAACTTCTGTGGCCCCACCACCACAATTGTCTTGTGGCGGCCAGAGCTTCAGGTTCAGAATTGCTGGATCCGGACTTAGGATAACTTGAAGGCTCCACAAAAGACAAGACTGGATAAGGCCAGTGGCACATTGCCGGATCCGGGACGACCCATCTGCGCTTGCATGGTCACTGAGGCGAGAGTCCGCCATCCTTCCTACATTTGCAACATCAAGGCTCCCTCCAGATCGCATTAGAGGAGATTAGTCTTGTAAGATTTTCAGGGAGCCTCAATTATAGCTGCGCTACTGGCAGCTGAGGTGCTGCCCACATCATTGCATTCCAACTTGAGGACATCGACCTGAATCGAAACCCTGCACCCGCACATCAACGAGGCTCCACCACACACCACACAAGACCAGCCGAGAGCCAAGTCATGCAGAAGCCAGACAGATTCACGGCACACCAACAATCCGACCACGAAGGCAAGCGAGTAGTAGTACATTGCTACTACTGTACACTGGCTGAAGTAGTAGTAGTAGTAGTAGTAGTAGTATAGCAGTGTATATAGTCGTACAGTAGTAGTTCAGCAGTGGTACAATAAGAGGGGTTAAGGCCGCCCCAAAGTTTCGAACTAAATCCGCTTCCCTCTAAGATAGCTACAAAGACTAAAAACCCTTCATG